ACTTAATTTTTAGATCCTGGTAAGCAGTATGAGATACTTGATGCAGGGAATTTATTATTGCGTTTAGTTTCCTTATAAAAGGTCATTAAAAACGGGTATGAAAACTAAATACAGCAAGTGTCATCTGATGGAAAAGAGAAATATTATCTGATGGTTGTGAAAGGGTGTGGTCTTAGAGAATAAGTAGTCTGAGCAATCAAATACGAGCACAGAAAACTGATGTTCGACAGTTTTACTCAAAAGCTCACCTGTGTAGAGTTAAAGATGGTGAAAATGTAGGCAAAAGCTTTGTGCATTGGTAACAAAAGACCAAATAGCCAAGTAAAGCCCAACAGTGGAATCATCACCGCGCATGTTCTTATGCCAAGTCTGAAGAACAACAACAACAATGTATATAATGTGGAATGGACGTTCATTTGCTTCACATGATTAGTTAACGTTTTAGATGCAGCCGTACGCCTCATTGTTAATTATTAATTAGTGATGAACCTAAGCAGATACCTCAGAACTGTCATTCTTTTACATCCCTTAAGAAACTGCGTATTCCTGATCTTGTTTCAACCCAACTCCATTCATTACAATTGTTTGGTAAAACGTTAAAGTTTTTATCCAACCTTATCTGCTGAAGATGGTTGTATTCCCTCGTAGATTGTACAAGTGTGGTCATCTCCCTTATGACTCGGACGAGTATCAAAATGTTGAGCTGAAACAAGCAAGAAGTACATTTCGGATGTCGTAAAGTAAAGAATATGTTATCTATCCTGGTTACAAGAGAAAAAGAATATACGAATCCCCACAGGCAATTGCAACTCCACTTTCCAGTTACTTGCTTCAAGAGAGATAAAGCAATTTCAGTGGTAAGCTAGGCAATTTCTTGGTTCAGAAATGACAAGTGTTCAATCATACTGCAAAGATCAAAATACTGAAAACATCGTGTAAATGAAAAGAATTAGGAAGATTGCAAACTTTGGGTATAGTAGTCGAGTACAGGAAGGCATTCTTGGTTTCCTAAGAAAAAAAGGAAAGAGCAGCCTCCAACAGCAATCATTCCCGGTATATAAGAAATAATAATTAGGAATCTATCAATCGACGACTTACAGCTTCAATGAACACCACGAATGAGATGAATATCCAGACGAGATTGTTAGTGGAGGAGAGCCAGCAACTTGAAACGAAAAAGAATAAAAGAAAATAGAAATAAAATGTAAAGAACATGCTTAACCCAGTCACGGTGTCAAAACACCTACAAAGCGAAACATAAATCAAAACACAACAAAAAAATCGATTTAACTTAAAAAAGGGAAAAAGGGAAGACGGAGAAAGGGAAGAAACCAGCACATAGTGATTTTCTTACTATTTATCGCTGGTATAACTATGAAGTCCACCTATTCCAGCAGCAATACAAAGTGAAATGCCGATTACGTAC